AGAGATATGAGAAAAACTGCTTTAATGGCTGTTTTGCAACAAAACGGCGTTAGAGTCGAAATGAGGACTTTAAGTGTCGGCGACTTTGCGTGGATTGCGAAACAAAGAGTAGATTTGGGGCCAAATATCGCGACCATTAATAGCCGTTCGCGAAGAGAATTGATTATGGATTACGTGATTGAAAGGAAACGGATCGACGACTTGGCCAGTAGTCTAAAGGACAGGCGTTGGGACGAACAGAAGTACCGACTCATCAATAGTGGCGTTCGGAAGCCTTCGTATGTTATCGAGTATTTCGGGTCTCAAACCAAGAGAGGAGACTTCGGAGGCATTAAATACGAGACATTAGATCAGGCGATCACTAACGCAGAAGTGGACGGCTTTGCGGTGAAACGATGCGATAGCTATGACGACACGATTCGCTATTTAACATTAATGACACGATATCTTGAGTCCAGTTTTAAAGACAAATCTCTGTATTCGTGTTCCAGAGAAGAGATGATCAACAAAGAGGTGTCGAACGACCACTTCATGAGTTACAATGAATTCGATCGAAACGCCAACAAAATCACTAACTTTACGGTCAATGAAATGTTTTTGAAACATTTGCTCCAAATTAAAGCCATTTCTGTGGTTAAAGCCAAAGTGATTGTAGAGAACTATCCGACCCTTCAGAGCCTTTTGGACGCCTTCTCTATCCCGGAGACACTCAAAGAGAAACAAAACCTCTTGTCTTCCCTTAAGAGCGGTTTAATGGACAGGAATTTTGGCCCAAATTTAAGCAAAAAGATTTATAATCATTACTGCAACCAATCGTTTTAAATTATATTTTTTTAATCATCTATTTTTACATTTGATTTTATGATTGTATATATTTTTAATTATTATATTTTTGTAAAACATCACAAAATGCAAGTCAATTATAATTGAAATAAATTAATTTTATTAGAAATTATTTAAGATTTCATTTCTTCTACTAAATGGTTTGAATTCATTGAAATATTTATACATTTAGCAAATATTCAAATATATATTTTTAATCATAATTTATTCAAAAGCTTAGCGTATGTTTCAAAGCAATCACTGCTTTGTAATTGAATTGAAGATTTTGTTGAATAATTATGTTATTCATAGCAATCAATCAAATATACAGTAAAATGAAATTTGATTATTAATTGCTTTTGTATTTAATCAATGAATTTATTGCTAATAACTGCTGTAATTTTGTGGATGTTATTAAATATTGAATGAATTCGCCCTTCAATTCATTTCAATTGTCTGTGAATTGTTTTCATAGAAAAGAAGTTACAAATAAACCATAAACTAAATCATATTCACGTAAACATTAAATGAGAGCAACGAGTGGTACGAGTGTTCACACAATTCAATTAAATATGATATTTAAAAGAATTTTTATAATAAGTGAATCATAAATAAATTAAATTGATTACAAATAAACTACAAAATGCATAGAAAATAAGTGTATGAATAAATATATTAAAAATATAATGTTTGCGAAGAGAATCTGTAGTATTAAAACTTTTCAATTTATATTTCAATTACATTTATTAAACAATATAATATACTATATTGTAATTCTTGAATGCAATGCATTATGTAATTCTTGGCATAACATAAGTTATATAACAAATGGTAATGTTTTTTGAATTTACACGATTTGACCAAAAAATATTGAAGGTCTATTTGTTTGGGACGTGAATTAAATATATAATAATCTAGTGATGTATATTATTGTATTCATAATAATATGCATTATATTTGTTATTTGTTAAACTTTGAGGTCAACATAAACTACAAAGGATTAAACAACAATGTTATTAAAACATAGTTATGTCCTTTCACTTCATCTCATCATTAATTTAACCCTTCTTTCAATTATCTCCTAACCTATTGATGGAAAAAAGCAAAAGTTTTTGCTGAACTAATATTGAATTTCTAATACTATTAATAGTGTTTCAATCTTACTCTTCATCTCAATTCTTCATAACCGCCAAAACATATGATTTGTATTCAGACATTAATTATGAAAATAATTTACTCGATAATTATACTCTTCTGATTAAAGTCTTGGTTATTATTATCCATTTATTATAATATATTTTGATTTAATTTACGATAAGAAAGGAAATGAAAGCGAAAGGGATCTGAGAAATAAAAACATGTAAAATATTTAGCAAATGAAAGCCAATGGTTTAGGAATTCATTTCAATTAGAAGTATAATAAGAGTGCAAATGCTTTTGACCGAAAGGACTGTCCCATTGTTTGACTTAAATTTACGTTTGAATGCGAATAGGATTCACAAGTTTTCAAATGTTTCAATAAAATAAATTTAAAAATAACAATAAGAGTTAATGAGATTGAATTTAATTCAATTGAAATACCAATTTATGAATAATTCATAAAATATTTTATTAAATTAAGATAAATGTCTGAATAATTCAAAATATAAGATTAAATATAGTATTGAAGCAAAAGAGCTTTAAATAACTACTATTTTCCATAAATTGAGTACTCATTCACACAAAACATATAATTTAATCCTCAGTATTGGCTATTAAACAACAGGTAGTTATTAGTTATTATACATAATAATGGGAATATTTTTGTTAATCCAGTGATAATTTAATATATAATAAAATAAGTTTTCACTTTCAATAGAAATGTCTACTTTTATCACAAAAATATTTGTTTTTGGAGAATATTTATTTTAAACAAAGTTCAATTGCCAAATAAATTAGAATATAAATATAATGAATGTAAATATTTTAAGGAATAAAGTGATAGTATCTGACAAAAAATTTAATCTAACAATAAAGTATCTAAAAGTGCTGTGAAATATCATTTAAATTAACTTAAAAATACTTTATAGACTTATAAAGTGGTAATTTGTTTTGTGTTAAGCTTTGGTTAATTGCAAACATTCTTCGGTAAAACAAAATCCAT